TTCGCTTTAATTACTAGTTATGGTCTCCAGTAGTGATCATTAAACAATCCAATAGGTGAATAGCGTTTAAATGACCTTGATTTGCTAATCAATAGCCTACAAAAAAGCGGCTAATATAAATAGTATACACCTACTCACCGTTAATCAGTAGTATCCATTGTGGTTAGACAAAAAAAGAGAACACAAATTCTACTTTAAATTGAAGTGGTTCATTTTCAAGTGTGTTCTAAATTTGAATAAGTCACCAGACTATTGAAAAGTACGCTTACGCTATGTGTATTTTTATTAAATCTAAGTACCTTCCTCATATATGCAAATACTGTGGAATAGTTGATTTCGACTACAGGCACACACACACACACTTAAAGCTGTAGAAAGTGAAATAAAACTCTGTAAAATGAATTATATATCGGTTTTACAGTTTAGTTCACTGAACAAAAAAAACATATGAGAGATGATGAAAAACGCCCAGCAATTACATCATATTTAATTGTTGGTTTTCAGGCATTTGATCTAATCTGTATACAATTGGTGGATGGTGGCTAGCAGTGGAATCCAGGATGCGCATTTCGTCCTATTTGGGACTCGTCAGCTGGATGTACCTGCACCAATTGTATACAAATCAAATCCCCAGACATCGTCGAAGCATCTGCACAAGAAGACGACATGTCAACCTGAGACCGAGCACTTCGGTCCAATCAATCGACGGGAAAATCAAGAATTCAATTCAATAATTTGATCTAATCGATTACAGGATTTTATCTACACGAGCTGAGGCAGGCTGGAGAACTATTGAAAAACCACCAGAGAGTGCTAAACACCCGTTTCGTAACCCTAGTTTGTGACTCTTCAGAGATACGCACCCACCGCTAGGATTCGAAACCACAGTTTTCAGGTTACAAGACGAGCTCGTAGACCATTAGGTTACTAGGACCCAATCCAATGGTCAGCTTACGAATTTCAACTTTTGCCAAGAAAGAACACATAAAGAGGGGAAAAATTTTCTTTTGAACTATTCATTTTCAAAATTGGAAACGTCTATCGCCTTTTCAAGAATTTGAAACAAGCAACAAAGATTAATAAAGTAGGACAGTAAATTTATCGAATCCCTATGGTACTCTTCAGCCGTATACTTTACATACAAAGTTGTATGTACTACTGCAAATACATTGGGAGAAATGAGATTGATAAGCAAATCAACTGTATTGAATTACTCATGCGCGAAACGACACGTGTTTGAATTCTGACCACCGGATTGAATCAGAGTGTTCCCTTTGTGAACGTTTGTTAATATCTGATAATCGTCTCTAATATTTGTGGGTCTTATTCAAGTCTGTTCAACAAACGTGTTCTTATTATTAGTAAACTAGAAAGGCATTTTGAAGTGATCCTGTGTCACAGACTTGAAATTGAACTCTTCAAATTAGTGGCTGACACTAGCCAACTGAGTGTAAGTGTCATCGTTTTCCTTAAGCACCAGAATCCTGCAAAGGTAACGTATGCTGAATAAGGATCAATGGTCTTCGAATTACTGACGGAGTACATAAATGGTTTCGTGAAATGTTTATGTCACTGATCTTTTGAGAGAGAATCAAGTTGCAGTATTTGCCCAATTCTTTTGTATTCAACTTCCGTAGTAAGAGTCTAGTCTGTCAGGCATTGGCTTCGCTCACGAAATCCCCTCGTAACTAGTCTTTGTATCTGAGAAACCAATGATCGAATGTATTGCCTGCAGATGGGTTATAAATAAGTTCAGATATACTGGTTTCATTACTGTTAGCAGCTGGAGATGAATTAATAGGGGAGGATATGCGTATACCAACAGGCAACTCCGTCATTTTAAGCTGCTGTTCTATTTATTTCTCCAAGAGTGATTTAAACATTTTCACAAACCACGTGTCACCAAATATTGCATATTAGAAAGCATTAGGTTGAAATTGGTACGCCAAGCTGGTATCATATTGGAAGTAATCACGAGTATCGCTTCTCTACGCCAGCAGGGCACACAACAGTTAACCGATTTGTCAGCTCACAACTTAAACGGGAGCAGATTAAAAAGACGAGATGGAAAGTAACAGTATCTTTACAATATAGTAAAGTATATGTCATTTAGTCTGTAATCATAATCAATAAAAAAATAGTGGGCGTATTTTATGTAGTCCCATTCTGATTCGTTTATTTCCAGATTGGATATTGATCACTTCCCTAGGTTAATTATGATTGGTCTGTTTTAAGACTGGGCGTCGATGCAAAAGGCAGCTAGCTATCCACATTTACTCATAGGTTTTCGATGATTCTATAATTAGTAAAAATTGGTTGTTATTTTTCTGTCGAAGTTAAAAAATTTCAAGTACTTACCAAGAGTCTGTATGGAATTTGAAGAGCTTATTATCACAGAAATTAATTCACATATTTTTTTAAAGTCTCTTTTATAACTATAGAGATTTAATTTAGTGATATTAAGAGATATCGTAATAGGATAGAGTTATTAAGAGTCGAAACTTTCATCGGCTGACGTAACTATGTTATAATAGGAAAGTTATTTAACAAAATAGCAAAATGATACTAGTTTGATTCTGTAATTTTAGGTGATTCAAAGTAATGGGCACTCATCATTCCGCTAGGGATCAAACCTGTGATTCATCCACTGATCATTAATCCTGGAATTCAATGATACATGAAATTTAACTTCTCATGTGTCAATTTTTATTTTTTTAAATTTTTGATTACAGCTTGATTCCACACCGTATTTTTGGTACAAGTGTGGAATTTTCAGCATGGATATCGGGAGCCCAAAATTCGCAGGCCGACCATAGATATCAGCTGCGAGTCGGCGTAGGCTCGAACCCCGGACCATGTGCATGGTCGGCGAGGGTCCTAACCACTGTGCCACCGAGGCACAATTTGAAAGGATTTGATTGGCCACAGATATGACCACGAGTTGATATCTGTTAGAAAACTATTGGAGCAACTAAGGGAAATGGACAGCTGTTTCGTTAGCCTAATTTGAGACTCGTCATCAGTTCTTGATAGTAGCGCTCTCTCTAACCAACGCCATCGATGAGTATCCACAACACCTGGAAATGATTAACCTCACAAGACAGGAATTTTCAGGAGAGCTTCAGGACATCGATCCAGTAGGCGTGAATCACCTGGAGATTGTTATCTAGGTTATGGCTTTTTATGAGGATTTGGATTAATTTGACAGTTTTAAAAGACAAGGGGCACTGAACAACTGTTTTTGGAGTGCTGACGGTATCAATTCCGCCAGGGATCGAACTCGAGGACCTTCAGGTAGTGAAATTAACTTATTTTATCAATTACATCACAAAATCTATTGATACATTTCGATCAGTACATTCATGTATTATCCTCATTATTATTCCCTTGGGTTGCGAATGGAAAAAACAGCTTCAACAACACATCTCCACTTAGTTCTTTTCTCTGCTGCCCTATTAAGCTGTGTCCACGATTGCCCACAATCTTTCATTTTTCCCTCGCCACACTATCTCCTCCATGCCACCCTCGGACACACGTCCTACCCGTCGTTCCCCGTTCGCCTTCCTCGCTTTCAGTGACGGCTGGGATTGCAGGCGATGTCAGTTGATGGTCTCCTCAGCGCGTGGCCAATCCATCAATCTCCATTTTTTCCTACATATTTGTTCAGCGATTGATTGACAGTTTCGTTAATCCAAGTTCGTTCCATCTGCTTTCACAGATTCCAAGCACTTCATCACCATATCTCCTCATTTCTTTGGCTAATTTGGCCGCACGTAAATTTCACGTCCCTATTCTTATTCTTGCTTCTATCGAAAGAGGACACATCGGCTGGCTGACTGGCTTCCTGAAGGCTTTCACTGGTTTGTGGTGTCTTTTCACCTCTTCAACTTCAAGGAAGTATACATTTTAAGAAATATTTTGTATCTCTAATATTTTTCTTGTGTTGAAGTTTCTGTAGCGGTTCAAATAGTTTTTTGGGGTACGGTTGCTAACCGCACGCCCAAACCTCCTTTTTTTTACCCTGGCTTAGAACCGGCTAGAATCCGAAAGAGCTAGCAAATTAGGCGAGTTTATGTATTATCCTATTTATTTTTACGAGTTGACCACGGATTGATATCAGCTAGAGAACCATTGAAAACCTGCAGGGAGTACTAGACAGCTATTTCATCCTAGCTTGGGAATCATCAGCATTACGCACCCGCACACTAGGGTTCAAACCCAGGACCTTCCGGTTACAAGACAAGCTAGCTCGTAAACAATTAAGCAGCCACTAGGACCCTATTCATTGGTCAGAACATGAATTCTAACTTCTACCAATTCGTGATGCATTCAGCGTGACCACCAACCAATGTCATTGGCAGGACATCCATTCTCACACACTTGACTTGATGGAGCTCATTGGTCACGACTTCTCATTAGAACTCCAGGCAAATCAATTCTCGTCAACTCGTCAAAATAAATCTAACCCTTTCAAACCAACTACAGAAAATTAATCTGATGCTCGCTAATATGTCACTGGCTACAGGACGGAGTTTCCTTGAGTGCTAATGATAAGTCGTGACCAGTGAGCTTCATCCAGTCAAGTGCAAGGATGGATATCCCATTGATGATATAAATTAGTGTCAGTCACACTAAATCACGAAATGACAAACGTTAGAATTCATGGGCTGGCCATTGTGTAGTCGGGTGCCAGTGGCTGAATGGTGCATGAGTCACCTTGCCTTCTAACCGAAAGGTTCTGGGTTCAAACCCCTGGTGTGTAGGTGCTTAATGCATATGATTCCCAAGCCTGGGTGAGAAATAGCTTTCCAGTACTCCAGTGCTGATTTTCAATACTTCTCCTCCAACTGATATCATTCCGTGGTCAAACTTGTAAAAACAAAACTAATCTTTACACACCAATTATAGAAAATATCCTATTTATTTAAAACATTTCTTTCTCTATCACTATATTTGTCGTTTTTATTTTTATTTGTTTGATTTTCTCTTTCTGAACACAGGGTTGTGCTCGTGTCTTAACGCAATCAATTCAACACTACATCATTGTGATCATTGGTCTATGCTTCATTTTCGCCATCATTGAAAGTTTCTTCTTAATTCTATCAATTTTATTGTTGAGAAAATCTGGATTAAAGGATGAATTGGTGTAAACAAAATAACTATTTTACTCACACATATTTGGTCTTTATTCTGATTGGTATTGTCGTCATTATTTGATTTGATTGGAAATTCGTTTTAAAACATTCGTGAATTTTTCGTCTCTATGTTTGTTTAACTGTTTGTGTTCTCGTTTTGCGCGTATATTTTAATTTAACACGTAAATAAATAAAAAATAATGAAGACAAGATGATAATATACCCGGAGAGAAAAACGAGAAATACTAAAAATTGAACATATATACACATATATATATATTCAGTAATATATCTGTATACTACTCATTATTAGAATGCGGGAAGTAAACTGCAGTCAGTCAGTCAGTCAACCGATTAATTAATTAATTGTTCGTATCCACTAACAACGTTATAATGATACGTGTAACATTTCAAAATTTACAAAAAAAAATATTACTTAATTATAATAGTTTATTTATTTATTTAATTAATTTAATTTATTGTGATTATAATCGTCATTAAAACAAAGTATACATTTTAATTGGCTTGACTTTTGCGCATACTACTCAAATGATTTATGTGACTAGTAGTATTGACTTTGAGTTGACAAACTTTATCTCTATTCTAATGAAAGATTTCATTTAAAGATGTCAATTTTATGTCATCAATATGATATGACTTAGGATAATCAAATTGGAGTTCATTAATGGTTGGTTAACAGTCTTAATGTTGAAATTTTAATTCCTCGACTTCTGAGTAGGATATTATTATTATAACCTTTAATTCCTAGAGGAACATAGGGCTTCAGCTGTGCATCTCCATTGCCTTCGGTTTTCTGCCAACTTTTTCACCCCACTCCAAGTCTTCCCACATGCTTTCATCTCCTATTCACATGACCTCCTCCAAGTCAGCCTCGGACGACCAACTTGCCACTTCCCTTTCGAGTTCCACTTGAGCAATGGCTTGTCTAGTGATGTCACTTGATGGTTTCATCAGTGTATAGTCAATCTATCTCCATTTCTTCCTGCCTATTTGTTTCACAATCGGTTCCTGCTGAGTTGGTTTGCTCATTGCCAGAGATCCCTGTTACTGATCTTTTCTGACCGGCCATCTGATCTTCAGCGAAGTATTAAGGGAAGGCAGCTGTTGATGAAGGCCTGTAGTTTGTTTGAGGTGCTATTTATGATGCGTCAAGTCTCTGATCCGTATAGTGAGTAGCACTGACTTCACATCGGAGTTGAAAATCCGGATCTTATTTTTCATGCTGAGCAGTGCTGTTGACCTCCACACAGACTTAAGGGTAATGAAAGCCTGTCTTGCTTTTCCGATTCTGGCTTTGATATCCTCGTCAGTTCCGTCCAGCTGTAGTTGAAGTGATGCTTCCCAGATAGATAGTTAAAGGAGTTTGTTTCTTTGAGGTTCCTCTCATTTATGCTGGCTGATTGTTGTCTCTTGTTGTTGTTACTGTTTCTGTTGGCCAGGAATCTTCATCATCTCTGTTTTCTCTATGTTCATCTGAAGTAGGTTCTATCCTTGATGCTTCTTCTGCCAGCTTGTTGTTTCTCACTTGCATATCTTCCAGTTTGTGGGAAATTAGACTTATATATGTTATCGGCGAAGTCCAGATCCTCCACGTTTTTTGTCTGAGCCTTGCCTCACTCACGCCCTCATTTCGAAGTATATAAACTTTTACTAATATACCTTCATTCCATGTAGTTAGTTCTTCGATATTCTCTTCCAGATGGTTTCACAACTGCCTCTTATTATTCAGCATAGTTGTTTGACACACTGGGGTTTGTCTCTAAGGTGTATGTCTGGCTTGTGTGGCACCAACTGAAATATTTTTCTCTCAGTACATATCCGATTCACTTCCATTTCCTTGAGCATATTAGTTGAGCTATAGATTTTCGATTGATTCAGTTCACGTGCTATCGTATTTTCTTATATTGTTGATCAATTTGTGACGATCTAATTAATCCTCAACTTTAACAGAAAGTCGTTTAAGTAAAAAATAAAATGTGACACTTATGTCTGTTTGGCATTTTATGTCACTTGGTAAACAAAGCTAATATCACGATAAATTTCTTAATATGTAGTTTAGTGACTTTCAGATAGAACAGAATCTTTGCATGACTGGAATGTTTTCATCACCAGATTAAATTCTTAGTGATTCATTTGAAATGATGATTATTTTTCTATCTAGTTGTGTTCCCTGAGGAGCTGGTTAAACTTTTAATTGAAAAGCTTTAAGTATGAAATGAACCAATCATAATCCTTCATCAATGATGATATAGTTGTATCCCCTGACAACCATTGTTGTGATTGGCTGTTAATTTACATTGCTATTGATTATTTTTATTGATTTAGAATTTGAACTTCCTTGTCACATGATTTACTTTTTATCTAAGTTTATGCGTTTGTTAATCTATCTCTGGCTGATTTATTTGAGTATTGGGTGTCTAGAAAATAATCTGACGTGTTTTGGTGTTTCCTCTGTTTAGAATTTTGACATTCTCTCAATCAAATTGGTGTCTGTAATTATCTAAGGGGATAGAACAAAGCATAAAATGACAGTCAAGCCTTTAACAGCTTTGACTGCGAAGTAATTTGGCAACAATTTTAACACTACAGCGCGCAGTACAGTTGGCTGGCCATACAAAAAAGCCACGTGTCAGGTGATCCACAACGGAAAGCTCAGCGAGGCTTTCAAAGTGAATATACCAGTGAGAAAAGACTCCTTGCCTATTATCACCGATGATATTCATAATTGTGGTAAACTGGATTACCCGTCAGACTATGGGGAGTGAGGAGTCAAGAATACGCTGGGTGACCTATAAGAAGACTCTAAATGATTTGGATTTCTTGAGTGGATAATTTATCTTTAATATCACACAAACTTGAAGACTTACAGGTAGGCGAAAATCAAAAAACTGGCTGAAAAGGCAGGGAAGATAGGATTCCAAGTGAACATAGAGATGACGGACGTGACGAAGATAACCAACCAACCAACCAACCAACCGACAGCAACAACAACAAAAAGAACCATGACCAGTCACCATCAACAGGGGAGAAATAAATGCAGAAGAGATGAAGATGTCAATACCAGAATCAAAAAAAATCAACACAGACCTTCATCAATCGAAAATCGGTTTGAAAAATTTGTTGCTCTTAGCATGAAGAACAAGATTCGAATTTCTAAAATCAATATCAATTGAGTCACTTCTTCTATATGGATCAAAAAAATTTGGTGCACGTGTCAAGAGAAGCAACAGTTTCCCTCTCTTCTGGCTCCATACTCAAAATCAGACAGCCGGCTGGAAAAAATTAGCAGCAAGAATCTCTGGTAACAAACCAATCGACAACCTTTTACTCAACAAATATCTTGAAGAAAATGTAGGTGGACCAGCCAGACACACATGTTGTGAAGATTGTTGAATGAAATCTTTGTAAATTCGTCACTTAGATCTTCTTCAATCACTTCTGACCATAATGAAATAAAGGCAAGGAACGAGACTGGCTGTTCAGGGTTGGAGAAACTCTCTGTCTGAGACAGCTATCGACTACCTGACAGACTACCTGAATGGCCTATTTGGAAGTCAGGTGATAGTATATTAAACTAGTTAGTAATCTATACGCCACTACGTCAAATCCTTTGACAATCAGTCTTTTCTTTTGGTATGCTCCTCCTTCAGTCTTCCTTTCACTAGCACTGAACACCACTCAGTCAATTCACAATCAATTAAACAATCAATCGAATTATTAATATTATTCATTATATAAATTATTTAAATTAATCCAAGCGTGTTAAGAAAATCAAAACAAGATCTGTTTTCTGAACGTTTCGCCGTGCAAACCACAGCCAGCTTCTTCAGCAGATTTATTCGGATTATAATTATTCATCAAAATATATAGTCAAAACTTTTTTTCAATAAAATGAAGTCAGTTTATTTGAAGGTGATTTGTCCATGGACATTTTTTACCAATACAGAAGTATGTAAGCAGTCCTCACATATATTTATTTGTAATGACTAATGTCAAATTGTTGTTGTGTTTACTCTTCTATAGTTGATTTGTAAAGATTAGATTTGTATGCGTGTGTGTGTGTGTATGTAGGTTATTTGTCATATCGAAAATACGTGAATTCATATGTGATAAACATGGCACTACATGTTTTAAAAGGTCATGAAGGCTCATAGAGGGTTTGTTGTTTTTTCATCTGTCTTGATTCATAAGAGTTTGCCATATAGGTAGGTGATAAGTCTATCCCTTCTCTCCTATTCACTGCATTCGATGTGGTTAAAATGTACAAGGCTTCAGAAGTCAATCTTTCTTTATGTGTTGAATGAAATCCTCTTCCAAGAATTTCGACATTGTCGAAATCAATCTTATGTCCGCTGTCTATCGCATACATTGCTTTATTTCTAGGTGGACGTTTCGTCAAACCTTCTAATCCTCCAGAGGAAGCGCTGGTGCATGTCAAAGATATAGTTCCCAAAATGTCACAAAGTAATTGTGTCTACAAGATAAAGTGTTCAGAATGTGATGCATGCTATGTATAGGGGAGAGCAGTAGACAGGTGAAGGTCAGAGTGAATGAACATAGACTATGCACGAAACGTCTACCTAGAAATGAAGTAGAATTAAAAAGTCTAGAAAAAAGATCGGCTATAGCAATGTATGCGATAGACAGCGGACATAAGATTGATTTCGACAATGTCGAATTTCTTGGAAGAGGATTTCATTCAACACATAAAGAAAGATTGACTTCTGAAGCCTTGCACATTTTAACCACATCAAATGCAGTGAATAGGAAAGAAGCGATAGACTTATCACCTATATGGCAAACTCTTATGAAGCAAGACAGATGGAAAAACAACAAACCCTCTATGAGCCTTCATGACCTTTTAAAACATGTAGTGCCATGTTTATCACATATGAATTCACGTATTTTCGATATGACAAATAACCTACATACACACACACACACGCATACAAATCTAATCTTTACAAATCAACTATAGAAGAGTAAACACAACAACAATTTGACATTAGTCATTACAAATAAATATATGTGAGGACTGCTTACATACTTCTATATTGGTAAAAAATGTCCATGGACAAATCACCTTCAAATAAACTGACTTCAATTTATTGAAAAAAAGTTTTGACTATATATTTTGATGATTAATTATAATCCGAATAAATCTGCTGAAGAAGCTGGCTGTGGCTTCTTACACGGCGAAACGTTCAGAAAACAGATCTTGTTTTGATTTTCTTAACACGCTGGGATTAATTTAAATAATTTATATAATGAATCAATCTGACTCGGGGCTCAATTTATTCCAGGAAATTTGTAACATTTACGGTCTGGAAACCTACAATCTTATTATTATTATTATTATTATCGTCTTAATTACATTTCACATTTTCTATTTCGTTTTTTATTTTAGTCTATTCTACTACGAGTAAAACTCGAATTTTCTTTTCTTTTTATAGATACACTGGCAATATCTTATAAACACACACACACACAAAATTACACACGCCCACACACATATTGACAATATTCCATCTCATATCCTGACTTTAATGTTCTCTATTTTACCACGAAAGTGGAGTACACTTGTAACACTTATATTATATAATAGCAGTCATACCCACATACATGCATACATACAATAACATTACAGACATTTACAGATTGACTGACATTGATAGACAGACAGACAGGCAACAGATAGATAGACAGACAGACAGAATTACCGACAGACAGAAAGTATAAACAAACTAATTTATGAACTGAGAACTCATTTTAAACAAAAAATTAACTTTCATATTACACAATTCATACATTTCAATTTCGCTTCATATGAGGGATCACATACACGAATGAATTTGAATAAAAATTATGCTATTTTTGTATTCTTCATTAAGACAGACAGGAGATATCCCATTTCGTGATTCCCTTTAGTCTGTTTAGGGTAGAGAAGAACACAAAATCAAATGGGTAGCGAAAAGTTGAACCTATGCGCATTTGCCGCCCTCCCCCCCCACACACAAACGGACTCAAATGGATATACGCAGTTTGAAGTGTTCAAGATTGGTGACTGGTCTTTTACAGATTGTTGGCATTAAGGATGATGAGTTTTGTAGGAGAATCAGTCCTCTTGATAGCAATATCCAGTCTGAATTTGGCGATTTTTCTTGTACACATCATCTCCTTTGAATTACAAACTGATACAGATAGATTTCTTTTGAACTATACATTTAAGCAAACAATATTGTGATTTCAATTAGATCTCATCAGGCTTAACCCTAATATCTTGATTGGACAATAGTAACTAGTTTGTGTGGTGTAGACTGAATTCTCTCAGTCAGTCAGGCTTTGCAGTGTGGTCACCATTCCAATAGGTAGCTCGCCATCACGGTGTACATTGATTTGATGATATTAGATATTTTGAGGCAATCGGCTACTGGAAGCCTTGGACGTAGGTTTCACGCTAGTTGGCACTGACCAGTCAGTAAGGCGTATCTGCAGTCCCCTTGAAAGAACTCATGTCCCTGCCTCTGAGATTCGAACCCGCGTCACCCAATGCTGCAGTCAGAGACTTTACCACTGAGCTATTCGGGTTCGCCATTGATGATGATGATAAGTCCAAGACTTCCTGCCGATTGCCTCCAACTATCTAATATTAACCCTAATGTACATAACTTTACAAATAAAAATTCAAATATAAACCAATCATGGTGTTTTGTTTATAGAATAATAAGATGGTGAATATAAATTGTGCAATTAGTCATAATAGTAGTCATGACAATAATAATAATAATAATAGTAATAATAATAGTCTTATCAATAATAAGGATGAAAAAATGAGGCAATCTGTGATAACGCGAATGATGAAAAACAACATGATTAAATGTTCACGTAGACATAGTAGTCGATAAAGGCTAGTAAAAAACAAATGAACCGATTAAGTAATGCTAGATTGTAAAAGAAGTAAATGAGACACGTTTTTAATGAATATGTGATAGGAATAAAGGATGATAAGAGAAGGGTTGAAAATATAGGTAGGGGGTTTCAGGATTTCATCATGAGCTGACATTAGTTAGAGAACCATTGGAAAACCTTCAGGGAGTACTGGACAGCTGTTTCGTCCTAGTTTGGGACTCTACATCAGTACGCACCCACCACAGGGGATTCAAACCCAGGACCTTCTGGTTACAAGGCGAGCTCGTATAGCGTTAAGCCTCTGGGACCCGTTCCATTGGTATTGAATACCAATGAGATGCTCACTAGCGACTGGCCCTATTCAGGTAGGTAGTTATCTGGGTTCCAGTGGGAAGTCGTGACCACTAGGGTGCAGCGGGTCGGGTGTGAGGACAAATACTCGCCGAAGACATTGGTTAGCGGTCACGCCATGTCGTGAATTGGCAGAAGTTAGAATTCAAGGACCATTGGCACGGGTCCCAGTGGCTCAATGGTGTACAAGCTCGCCTTGTAACTGGAAGGTCCTGGGTTCGAATACCCTGTGGTGGGTGCGTACTGATGTAGAGTCCCGAACTAGGACGAAACAGCTGTCCAGTACTCCCTGCAGGTTTTCCAATGGTTCTCTAACTAATGTCAGCTCATGATGAAATCCTGAAACCAATGAAATCCCTACAAACCAACACTTGAATAAGTAAGGGGTAGTGTACAAGTCATCAGTTAGTTACATCTTAAATGGCCATGGGAAGGATAATGGCTGTACGAACTTCTTTTGAATGAATGCATAGTTTAAGTTTAATAGTTCGAATGTCTATCTCCTCAGCTGTGTGCAGTAGACGAATACGAAGTCTATTTGAAAGATTCTATCGGATACGATGAATTACTTTGAAAGCTCTCGTTTTATCTACTACATAACCACTATCGACTAAACGTGACAAAATTGAGCTACGGATTGTTTTTGTCTGTCCTTCGGTTGGTTAGTTTTGTAGAGGCTCGTTTCCTTAGAGTATTAATTAATAAACTTCTCAGGATATCCATTCTCAGATAAAATATCCTTCATTCAGAGTCCTTATTTTATGTTCAGCTATACTATCAGGGCAAATTTTCTGTGGTCTATTGAAGAGTTGTCTTATTTTTATTATTGCTCCCTTGGGTTCCTAGTGGAACATGGGGCTTCAACTGCACGTCTCCACTTCCTTCTGTCTTCTCCCGTACTTTTCACCTGCATCCATCTTAGTCCATACTCTTTCAACTCCTCTGTCTTCACACGATCTCCTCCATGTGACCCTTGCACTGACGTCCTACTCGCCGCTTCCCTTTCAGCCTGGTTCCACTCGAGCAATGGCTTGATGCGCGCGCGATGTCACTCAGCGGCCTCCTCAGTGAGCCAGTGTCCAATCCATCTCCACCTTCTCCTGCATATTTGTTGGGCGATTGGTTCTTTTTTTGTTTGTTCCCACAGTTCCTTGTTGGTGATTCTTTCCGTTCCGGCCATCTGATCTCCAGTATAGGGTGAAGACAGTTAGTTGCTGATAAAGGTTTGCAATAGCCAGCCTGTTGGAAATATTCTTTGTGATCCTCCCGCCCACCAAGTTTCTCATCCGTATAGAAAAACTGACTGACTTGACGCGGTTTGTATTGAAAATCTGACGGAATTTTGTTGTTGATGCTGGCTGAGTGACGAAGATTTCCAGATTGATTTCAGGTTGATGAATGTGTTTCTCGCCTTCCCGATTCTCGATTTGACATCCTCGTCCGCTCCTCCTGTAGTTGAGACAATGCTCCCTAGATAAGTGAATGAAGTAACCTCTTTCAAATCCCTCTCGTTGATGGTGATTGGCGCTGGATGTTGCTGCTGTTGTTGTTGTTGATTGGTTATTTTCATAACCTCCGTCTTGTCTATGTTCACCTGGAGTCCTGTCTTCGCCGGCTGCTTCTTCGACCAGTTTGTCGGTTTTCGCTTGTAAGTCTTCGATTGTGTGTGACATCAAACATAAATCATCCACGCGAGAAACCCAGGTCTTCGAGGTTCTTCACGTCGGCCGGTCCGGGATATCCCTATCTTCTCGTTTCCAACTGTCTGACGCATAATCCAGTCAGTCCACCACAATTAGGAATATCATCGATGATGAGGAGTTGTCTGACTAAGTTTTTTTATATTGGATTGGAACAAAACTTCGAGGATGTAAGTACTTTCTTGTCCTGTCCATGAAAACTTTCTCAATATAAATCTTTCGATTGTGCCATCAGTCCTTTTCACTAGAGAAACACCTAAAAATGTAATAGTATAACTTTACTCGCGTCCCGTTGTGAAGTTGAGATTCGGATGGCGAGAGGAGTTGAATTCTATCGACAGATCTCCAGCTTTTGATCTGAATGATTACGCCCCTGGTAAGTTAAATTACGTAGAAGTAAGCTTAGCCACTTCACTGCATTCACTTGTATGTATGTAATCACAAAACAGGGTGGGTGGGACAGGTAGAATGTAATGTAAAAAGTAATCCATCGTTGAGTATGATAGACAGATAGGTCAGTTACTGAATCTTTATTCGCCGACTCAACACCGCACATGAGCAATCGGAACGACGCTGCACATGTACCGGAGATAATGAGGAGGAAAGAGAGAGAGACAGAAAAAATATCTATGAGGTGAATTGTGAAACTGTGTGACTAAATTGATACGATTATAACGGTAATCATTTATTATTGAATAGAATTTTTGATTTTCCCGTCGATTGATTGGACCGAAGTCCTCGGTCTCAGGTTGACATGTCGGCTTCTTGTGCAGATGCTTCGACGATGTCTGGGGATTTGATTTGTATACAATTGGTGGATGGTGGCTAGCAGTGGATTCCAGGATGCGCATTTCGTCCCATATGGGACTCGTCAGCTGGATGTACCTGCATTTCTCAGTGAGTGATGATGTTCCCACCGAGGCTCAAACCCAGTGCCCATAGTTTCAAACGCCAAAGCGTTATCCACTAGACCACTTGGGCCACGACAGCCACCTCTTGTGCAACGGGTCATATTAATTATTGAATTGAATTTTTGATTTTCCCGTCGATTGATTGGACCGAAGTGCTCGGTCTCAGGTTGACATCTCGGCTTCTTGTGCAGATGCTTCGACGATGTCTGGGGATTTGATTTGTATACAATTGGTGGATGGTGGCTAGCAGTGGAATCCAGGATTTGGCAGTTTTGGAGTCAGTTTCACAGCCAATAGTATCTGAGTAAAATTTCTCTGTTAGCAAAAGAAGCATCAAAGATAGAACACCCAAGTAAACATAGAGAAAAAACATATGTGATAAATATTCCTAGCCAACAGAAACAACAAAACCAACAACAACAACAACAGACAACAATCAGCCAGCATAAATGAGAGGAACCTCAAAGAAACAATCTCCTTTACCTAACTACCTGGGAAGCATCACTTCAACTACAGGTGGACGCAACTGTTGTGGATATCAAAGCAAGGATCGGGAAAGCAAGACAAGTTTTCATCTCCCTGAAATCGATGTGGAGGTCAACAACAATCAGCATGAAAAATAAGATCCGGATTTTCAACTCCAATGTCGAGTCAGTAACACTTTATGGATCAGAGACTTGACGCATCATAAACAGCACCTCAAACAAACTACAGGCCTTCATCAACAGCTGCCTTCCCTTAATACTTCGCTGAAGATCAGATGGCCGGTCAGAAAAGATCAGTAACAGGGATCTCTGGCAATGAGCGAACCAACTCAGCAGGAAGCGATTGTGCAAAAAATATGCAGGAAGATATGGAGGTGCACTGGCTGGCCGTACTCCGAGGAGGGCATCAAGTGGCATCACACGCCAGCCCGTCGCTCGAGTGGAACGTGAAAGGGAAGCGGCCAGTTGGTCGTCAGTGCGAGGGTGACTTGGAGGAGGTCATGTGAAGAGGAGATGAAA